TTGCATTTATTTCACTTAAAGAGACTGTAGTTTTCTTTTATGATTAGGTTTTTTTTTCTGGTTTTAGAATCAGGGTAATGCTATCTTGAAGGAATGACTTTAGGAGTCCTCATTCCCTTTCCATGTTATTAAAGTTGGAGGAGTACTGGTGTTAGATCTTTCCTGAAGTGCTTGCAGAATTTACAAATACTGTGCACCAATATCTGCAATTCTATCATGATTCTATTATAGGAGGTCCAGTTCTTATACAATTTAGTAGTGAAAGCACCCTGGGATTTTCTTACAGTAGACAGAAATTTATTTTTTTATTACTGTTTCACTTTCCCTGATTCATTGAACTAGTCAGGATTTTTATATCTTTTTGCTTCAGTTTTGGTAATTCATATGTATCCAGGATCCCATCCATTTCTTTAAGATTCTCCAATTTATTAGAGTACACCTTCAGTATATGCAACTACTGCTCACTTTTACTTAACTTGAGAGAAGGAAATGCTATAGGTTCTACCTGCTGGTAGAGAAGAATGAATACAGAACTGGTCCTAAGTGATTCAGGTCTTTCCTTTCCTTTTTTTGGTAAGATAGATAAAGGGTTTGTCTATTTTGTTTACTATTTCCTACAACCAGCTCTTCAATTCACTGATTCTCTGTACTGTTTTTTTTTTTTAGTGTCAATTTCATTAATATCTGTTATGATGTTTGTAGTTTCCTTCCTTTTTCTAACTTTGAATTTGGATCGTTCTTATTTTTCTAGGACCTTGAGGTTCATTATTAAGTTACTTATTTGGGTTCACTTTGCTTTTGTAATGCAGGCATTTACAGCTATAAACTTCCCTCTTAGCACTGCTTTCACTGTATCCCACAAGCACCCTGGCCCCCCACTGTCACAATAAGAATCTAGCTGCAGAATGCATTCTCAGAAACAGAATGTGCTGTTATGGAGAGCCACAATATTACAAAACCCCTGCTGGAGTTAATAGCAACAACGCTAATAACAAAAGTTAAGTGAGAATATTCACATTTAAGAATGCAAATATAGGACACCCCCCCAGCTCAGACAGTGAGGTACACCACAAAGTGAACTTATGCCCAGGTAGAAAATCTATGGCAGACACTGGAGCCTGTCTTGCAATATTTGGTGATGGGAAAAAAAGGAGAGTATTAGAAGCTTACATGAGCCCTACTGAGTTGGTTTAATATATGGCAACCTGAATATATTTCAATTAGAGAGTATAGGTTTAGTAATTTAAAAATTTTTAAAACTGATGTAAGACAGAAAAGCACAGTATTATAAACACTTGCATTTTCATTACTACAAACCAAATTTTTACTGCATATTGGGTAAATACACTGTAATGGCATTATTGTTTGCCTCTAGGAACTGTGTAACTTCTTCCTTCACTTCTTCCATGATTCACTGATTATTTGAGATAATATTGTTTAATTCCACACATTTGCATATTTTTGTGTTTCTTTTAACACTGATTTCTACTTTCATTGCACTACAATCTGGTAACATACATAGTATAATTTCAATTCTTTTGCATTTACTTAAGCATGCTTTATGAAAAAAGTACAAATAAAGCAAAAAAAAAAAAGTTAAAATTATCAAAGATATAGACAGGCAATTTACTAAAACTGGCATCAGAATTTCCTGGTGGAAGTTTAAAAGACATTTTAAGGCACAAAATTTTGGATCACTAGAGGGCAACTATATACCAAAATTTTTTGGTAGGGAGGAGGAGAGAGAAGGCCACTACTAATACCTCTAAGTTAAAAAACGGCACTGAACTCAACTTCCTTGCTAGGAAATATACTTCAGTTTCCCCTTCTGAAAGTCATAGGTGCTCAGCAGACCTACATTATGAAATTATTGAGCCAGTGAGACAGCTCAGTGGATTAAGAGCCAGCTTAGGCAAGCACAGAGACTGGGGTTCGATCCCCAGCACCACATGCTATGCTGGCCCTGGTCCCAGGCAAACTGAGCTGGCTACTGACACTAGGCATGAGCCCCAGCTGCACAGTAAGACCCTGTACCAAATACTTTTTTTTTTTTTTTTGTACTTTAGGGAAGCGTCTACAGGGTGTTCAGGGTTTCACTACTACATCGAACTCATCACGATCCACTTGTTTAGTCTCCCAAGTGCTTACAGGTGCTACCACACCCAGTTTCAATTCACTAGCTCGGCAGGCCTCGTGACCAAACCCTGGCCCTTGTGCCTGCTTGCAGGCGCTTTAATCCACTGAGCTATTTGTCCTGCCCTGTACCAAATTAAAAAAAAAAAGTTATCAAGTTGTGCGAGTGAAGTACTCCTGGCCTACTCTTGGTAGGTTTCCAGAGGCAGTTTCTCTATAATGTGTGATCCCTGTTACAATACCTCACTATAATGATCTCTCTTCCACTTTTTCATGTCATAAAATCCTCATGATTTGAAGAACTTACTATTGAAATGACACCCTAAAATGCCCTTGGTTCTCTCTTCACACAATGGTTGGCTTGTCAAGCTAGCTGGTTTCCTCAAATATAGGCAAAATGGACAGAAAACTACAAAAACGAGAGAAGAATCTATCTGATCCCTAATTTCATTATTTTCAAGTCACTAGTGAGGAAGAAAAGGACAGGAAAGGAAGTTAACAAGTACAAATATAAAAAGCTCTACACTTCAAGATAGTTCTATTTCAAAATTTGTAAAATGTAATTATGGAAAAGCCAGCACATTTCTATCAACACTATAATAATGACAATGTAGGGCTGGTGAGATGGCTCAGTGGTCTAAAGCACCTACTTAGAACAAGCTAAGCTAAGCAAAACACAGGGACCTCGGTTCAATCTCCCAGCACCACATGCCAGCCCGCCACGCCCCCTGGTGGGCTGAACTGGCCACACACAAAATAAATAAATAAATAAATAAATAAAGTATTTAAAAAAAAAATAATGACAATGTAAAGTAAAAGTATT